CTCAAATATTTCATTCATGGACATAACAGCCTTTGTTCAATGAAATGGTTATTTCCAATCTATGAGTTTGTGCATGATTACATTAAAAATCTATGAAGAATGATCATCTCAAAAGATGCAGAAAAAGCTTTTGAGGAAATCCAAAATCCATTTATGATAAAAAAAAAACAAAACTCTCCAGGAAGTGGACATAGAGGGAACATACATTAACATAATAAAGGCCATATGTGACAAATCCACAGCTAATATCATACTCAATGATAAAAAGCTGAAAGCATTTCCCTTACTAAGATCAGGAACAAGACAAGGATGCTGTCTCTCACATTTATTCAACATAGTTTTGGAAGTCCTAGCCATAGCAATCAGAAAAGAAATAAAAGGGATCCAAATTGGGAAAGAAGAAGTAAAAGTGTTACTGTTTGCAGATGACATGATACTATACATAAACAATCCTAAGGACACTACCAGAAAACTACTAGAGTTCATCAATGAATTCAGTAAGGTTGCAGATTAAAAAATTAATATTCAGAAATCTGCTGCATTTCCATATACTAACAAAGAAATATCAGAAAAAGAAATTAAGGAAACAATCCCATCTACCATTACACTGAAAAGAACAAAATACCTGGGAATAAACCTACCTAGGGAGGCAAAAGACCTGTACTACAAAAACTATAAGACACTGATGAAACTGAAGACAACACAAACAGATGGAAAGATACACCATATTCTTGGATTGGAAAAAATCAATATTGTTAAAATGGCTATACTACCCAAGGCAATATGCAGATTCAATGCAACCCCTATCAAATTACCAATGCCATTTTTCACAGAACTGGAACAAAAAATTTTTTTAATTTCTGTGGAAACTGTAAAGACCTTGAATAGCTAAAATGATCTTGAGAAAGAACAGAGCTGGAAGAATCATGATCCCTGACTTCAGACTATACTGCAAAGCCACAGTAATTAAAACAGAACAGTACTGGCACAGAAACAGACACATAGATCAATGGAACAGAATAGAAAGTCCAGAAATAAACCCTTGTACTTATGGTCAATTAATCTATGACAAAGGAGGTAAGAACGTATAATGGAGAAAAGACAGTCTCTTCAGTAAGTGGTGCTGGGTAAACTGGAAGCTACATGTGAAAAAATGAAATTAGAATATTCTGTAATGCCATGTACAAAAATAAACTCAAAATGGACTAAAGACATAAATGTAAGACCAGATACTGTAAAATTCCTAGAGGAAAACATAGACTGACACTCTTTGACATAAATTGCAGCAATATTTTTTTCAATCTGTGTCCTAGAATACGGGAAATTAAAGCAAAAATAAGCAAATGAAGCCTAATTAAACTTAAAAGCTTTTGCACAGCAAAAGAAACCAGAAACAAAATAAAAAGGCAATCTATGGAATGGGATAAAATATTTGCAAATAATGAGAGCAACAAGGGATTAATTTCCAAAATAAACAAACAGCTCATTCAGCTTAGTATCAAAAAACAAAAACAAAAACAAATCCAATCAAAAAATGAGCAGAAAAAAAAAAAATGAGCAGAAGACCTGAATAGACATTTCTCCAAAGAAGACATACAGATGGCCAACAGGTACATGAAAAGATGCTCAATATCGCTAAATATCATAGAAATGCAAATCAAAACTACAATGAGGTAGCACCTCACACCAGTCAGAATGGCCATCATTAAAAAATCTACAAATAATAAATGCTGGAGAGGGTGTGGAGAAAAGGAACCCTCTTACACTGTTGGTGGGAATATAAATTGGTGCAGCCACTATGGAGAAGAGTATGGAAGTTTCTTAAAAAACTAAAAATAGAGTTATAATCCTGGGCATATGTTAACATATACACACTACTATATATAAAATAGATAAAGAACAAGGACTTACTGTATAACACAGGGAACTATATTCAATATGTTGTAATAATCTATAATGGAAAACAATCTGAAAAAGTATATATGTATATATTATATGTATATATACATACATATGTAAGTATATATATGTATACACACATACGTATGTTATATATACATAGATACACATATAACTGAATCACTTCGCGGTACATCTGAAACTAACACAACATTGTGAATAAACTATATTTCAATAAAAATAAAGTTTTTATAAAGAAAAATATATAAATAGAAAATTTAGAAATACAAAAGCAAAAATAAGTTATAATTTTTCTATATTAAAAAAATCTATAATGAAAGATTAGCAAATTGCTAAGGCTGATTTTGCATTCATCAGCTTTGTGGTCAAATTTCACACTGTGTGGTGTGAACCACACTAGCATAAAACCATAGGGCCAAGTATGCTGGAGGTTTTCCCAAGAGGAGGATTCTATAAATCATCACCGGCAATAAAATCATTATTTCCCAATGCTTCACCACTCTAATTTCCTCAGTATCCTTAAGGTGGGCAGATACATTTAAATATGTCTGAGAAAAATAAACTTGTGAAGTCGAATTAAATTGAGATAGAGTTATAACTGTTCATCAGTTTAAGAAAATACTGTTAGACAGAAATGTTCAGTGTGAAAAATACGATATATAACACAGAAGACGAAACTATTTGAAGTATGAGTTTAAAGAATTCATTTGTTTCACTGAGATTCTACTATTAGGCACTATTCTAGGTGCTTTGGATACATGAGTGAACAAATAGACAAATTCCCTGCCCTTCTGGAATTTACTGTGCAGTGCTGGAAAACAGACAGGAAAAGCTAAGAATAATAATGTGAATAATTTGTTACATTGTAGAGTAAGTGCTAGGAAAAAAGTGTAGAGTAGGGAAAGGAAGATAGTGGGTGACTATGGGGTTAAAAATTTAAATATGGTATCAGGGTCCTTTGATTCAAAATGGATTTTCATATAATTTGAATAAAATGATGAAATTCAGGGTTACCCGAAGTCATGTTACTTCTGCTTACATAAAATTGTACCAGTTTTGGTAAAACAAGGCAGTTGATTGGCACGCTGGTAAGGGATATGTTTTTCTGCCTATTAATTGGTCTTCCTGAATTCGGGTTTTTCCTGGAAATTTTTTAAATTGCCTACGTTGTGCTGCTTTGAAAGTGTGCCTGTTAATTTTGGACAAATAAGACTTTGAAAATGTCCTGTGACCTAATTTCATAGTCATACATCAAGGTCTTTGCTTCTTTTAAAGATACAGAAATTAGTATGAGAAGACTAAAAATTTACTCTTTGGCATTTTAGATCAGTCTCTTGGTCCGTATCATACTTTGGTATCATATTTTTATTGATAAATAATAAGTAAAAGTTTAAATAAATTTTAAAAGATACGATTTCATATCAATTATAAAATCTTGAATTTTTCTCAATAAAAATGTACTGATGATTCTATCTAAAAATGTTATGAGCACATGTGTATTACCAGGCATCACTGGCTTTTAGTGACTCCCTGCCTTTCTCCCATCTATGAAATCAGAACTCTCAAACTTCAAGAAGTTGCCCGAGTTTGCTCCTCCCTCAACCCCATCCCTCACATGTGTAGGACTCATAAATAAAAATTAAAAGCTTGTTTTGATACTCTATCCACATTAATTTTAATCAAATTCTCTCATCATTTTCACTCTCAATTCATATTCACTTACAGTCTCGTTTCACATAGCAGCCATTTTTATTCTATTCATCATTATAAACATCCTTATATGACTTCTCCTGAGTCCCACTGCATTTATCCTTACACATCACTTCAAATTAATTTTGGTTTGTTGTCATTTAAGAATCAATGTTCTTTTTCCACATGGACATTTGGTTGCTCCTACATCATTTGTTTAATATGTGGACAGTATCTCTAGACTGTTCTCTTCATAAAACTCTGCAACATTTCTTACATCCTTGGATTCTCAGATAACATCATGTATATTATGTCATTATAGTCTTCTAATAATCTTGAGGTAAGTAATCTCAGTTTAAAAATGAGGAAACTAAGAGGTTAAAGGATTTACTGAAGAGATGTCACACACACACACTCACACACAGGTGCAGAGTCAACCCCTCAAATCTAGGTCATCACACTTTATTTCAGTATTTCTCGGTTTTCATTTCCAAAATAAATATTCCTTAAGGGTAAAGGAGACTCAAATACGCTCAAAAGGCCTTGAGACATAGCCTGAAACAATCACTGATTTTTTTCACTAAAGGTTCATGTTTTAAATTTTTTTAATCATGTAAATTTGGATACTTTTACATGTTTGCCAACCATAGTAGAATACAGTTGTATATTGTGTACTGTCAACTAAATAAATGTTCCAGATAAATGCAATTGGTTGTCTATGATATACTATCACCCCGTCCCTACCCCAGAATGTGTAATCCATTTTGAGACACTCCCATATCACTATTATCCCATAGGATCTTTAGGTTTGCTTAGTATTATTAGCAGGTTTCCTATGTTTAAACAGAAGAGAAAATACCTATGTAACAAGGTAAATATGGATAAAGACAAGAGCCAGTCCTTCAATCAGAATAGGCTTTGAACAGTTCTAGAAATAAAATATTGTTGTTTCTATTGGTTTTTTCTTTTCCTTGCTATTTAATCAAGTAAGATATACGAGGAGATATTCTGGGAGAATGAAGGTGATCTGGAGACTATAAAGTTGGGACCACTTGAGGGGAGGGCTGCAAACCTAGGAGATAACAGCTTTCCAAATTATGTCCAAATGCAACAGCAGAAATTTTTCTGATGGTATACACATCTTGCTTCAGAAGATACACTGCCTTGGAGCCAGACCTGTATCTGGAGCCAGTGTCAATAGAAGGGGGTTGGTACTATTTTGGAAGGTAGATAGCTGACAGTACCTTTCTAGGCTTGATAGATTGCTCTCCTTCATTACATAGGAGAGGTGTCTGTTAAGGATTTACCCGTGAGAAGGTGATAGTCACAGGTTTTAATATCTATATAAATTTGGTGTACTAGTTGATGAGACTCCCACCTTCCTGTTGCAGGAGCAGGAGAATCTGGAAAAAGCACCATCGTGAAACAAATGAAGTAGGTACATCCTATCTTAAATGTTTAATATTTGATGTCTATCCACGTGTTTGACAACTCTTAAAAGAAATACTTTTGGAAAATCTGATAGTCTCTAAATCACAGGTAGTGGCAAGGCTGTCACAAATATTCCTCCTACCCTTTAGCACAAAGCATAACAGATGAGTAATATTATAATTTCCATTTTTTCTTTTAAATTTTACCTCTGAACAAGATGAATGCTAAAAGCAATTATGTTTTAAATATATTAATATGGGTATGATCTAGTGCCTTAATATTGTGAGCAAAAGCCACAAACATTTCAAAATATATCAATTAATGATCTATTTGAATATAAGAGGAAACAGTATTTTTAATGTATTTGGCATTTTGCCTACCTAAGAATAAAACATATGTTTAAAGTTATTACCATCATGGACTTCAATTTATTTTTGAATTTATTTTCCCTACTTTTTTTTCTCTTTATAATAAAATAAGTAGACCTGAATTTCTTATTGAGTACATTATGAATACAAAAAAATGCTCAAGAATGCCATGCCTCAATGAGTAAAATGGCACTGATAAGTGGAGTTGAATATATGAAACTTCATGGTTCTGTCACTGCTGGAGAATTTTTAATTTAAATTATTAAGAATTTTCAATATACATTATCACTATAGGAGAGGAAGATAATAATTTTTGAGCTTATTTTTCATTATGTTTGAGGATCTTGTTGTTTGGAACATAACTCTATGAAGAATAAGGGTGAAACTGTCTATTTATAATTTAAATAATTTTTTTCTTTTTCCTGGGTAATAATGTCATGCAGGTTCCATAACAACCAATTTTTAAGTCCCTCTTTTGAAGTCTCCGGTCACCTGTATCTGCAATAAATTTTTGACCTTTCTTCCTGTCTCTGAAGAACAGGACTTCTTTATCATGGTGCCTGATCACACTGCTTTCAGGTTCTTCGCTCAATCCTTGCCCCTGAGGCATCTTGCATTCCCTTTTAACATTGCCTCTGTGCTCACCTGTTCTTTCCTTCAGGCCTCACTTACCCTTTTTACCTCTCCATTCTCTGTGAGGTTAAACGCAGAAAAATAAAAGACCAATAATTTGGTCAGATAAATATTAAAACTTAAAAAAAAAATAGGAAACTAGAAAAAAATCTGTAATAAATATTATAGACAAATGACTAATAAGTAAAGTAGATTATTAAAAAAAACAATAAGCTGCCCAATATATAGACATGGGAAAAGACTATGGAGAGACAGTTCACAAAATAAAAAATTCAGATAGCTATTAAATATATATATTTTAGTTTATCCTCACTAACATAAAATAAATAAAAATTAATGTCACAATGAGCTATTTTTAATCTTAGCAAACAACAATTTTAAGATAATATTACCTGATAAGGGTGAAGATTTGAGAAATGAGTATTTCTCACTACTGTTTATAAAAGTATATGCTATAGCAACTTTATAGAAAGAATTTTTGCAATATACAAAGTAAACTGAGAAAATAATTATTGATCTTCTAAATACATTTCTGATCATTTTAATAAC